CAAGGAATTGAGCAGCATCATTTTATTCTACAGAAATGATGGAAGAAATGATAGTGTTCAGATTTTTTCAAAGAATTTAATATCGGATATTGTAGTTGTCAATTGCATTTGCAGCACAAAACAAAGCCAATTCTCCCCTAATGAAAAATGAACTAAAACACAGATATTTATGGAAGGAAATACTACCACAGCCTAATCTATTCCTCTTGAAAAAATGGAAAGCAGGGATCTTTGTGACACTTTGACAGACTTGAAGTGGGATGAGAAATGAGCAGACAGTGCCAATGTATTATAGGAAAACTATCAGGAAATTGACTGTTTTAAATAAAGAGAAATGAAGACCCAAGAAGGGATGTGGAACAGTTGTGTACATTGGATTGCATACAACCTTGCTTTGTCATGCTCAAAAACGAGTATTTTTCACAACTACACAAAGTTGATCGAAACTAGTTTATAGCGTTATACTACCATGCCAATTTAAACTCTAAATATTAAGATTACTTTATCTCTTACTATGCCTTTCTACTGACCAATATACCTTGAGGAATCTTAACGTTACAATAAATGAAACTGTAAAAACTGTCTCCTGTGATAAAGATATGAAAAAAACAAAGCACACACTAAAGGAATCAACCATTAGGCTCTCAGTCATGAGATGTGGTTGTGGATGGGGAGATCACCTCACCACAATTTATTTGATATCCTGGCTCCACAGTTTTTAACGTGAACCATTAATTGTTTGCTTGATTACTTGCAGAGTTTGCAGATGATAAAGGAAAAGGTAATTAAGATTAATAATCAAACAAAGCATTCTAGAACTCAAACAGGGACAAACAAAAGTGATATTTATGTAATAAAACTAAAAGTGAAACACTGAAACAAAGGGTGTGCTTGCAGGACAGAAGACTATCTTAGGAATTGTGAAGAACCTTCTATGTGATGTTTTTAGAGAGCACAATATAAGAGAACTGATTCTTGGAGGCACAGACAGTTAAATGTGTGATACAAACTTCCTGCTCTCACCTGAAATGCACCAGACTTACCAAAGACTAATTACCACTAGGATAAATTGTGGAAAGCTTAAAAGAGTCAACATTAAAAAAAAATTGGAAGATATTCTGATTAAATGTTCAAGAAATGGAAACTTTCAACCATGGCTGTTTGAAAGGATGAGATTAACAGTCTATCCTCTTCTTTTAGATCTTAACTGTAGATCTTCAGTGGGCTCTTCACTGAAACAAAGTATACCAGGATTCTGTGGACAGAAACTTAAAAAAAGAGCAGATCTGCTAATAAAGTCAAGAGCTTCGCAAGACTTTCAATGGAATCTCATCTGTTGGCAAAAACGTGGGCTAGAGACAATTCTGTGTATTAACCTTATGTGAAAAGTACCAAAGTAAGAACATTTGCATCCATACTATTGTGAAAAAAGAAGAGACTTTCCAGTGCCTCAACAAAACACAAGCAGCTCCCATTCCAAGCTTGTGCTGTCAGCCAAGTCAGTGCTCTCAGCTGCTGCTTCTTCTGTTTAACAGAACTTCACCATTGTTTTGTCAGTAAGCTTTGCACTTCTGCTGTACTCCAGCTATGAAGCACAGAATTATCAAGGAAGCTTCTGCAGACATCTGGTTACTGTGACAGATGTCCCTGTGGAGAGGTGCAGCTTTAAAAGCTGAAGACTTCTCCTCCTAACTCTTCTCAGATCTTTTAAGGCCTCCAACCACTCATTAGTTTTTTTTCTTCCTGGTCAGAAAACAATTGCAAGAAAATACTACTCGACATGCATCACACAGACTGACCACATCAGCATGATGTGATAGAAAGTACAGAACTGATGGATAGGTTGAGCACCAATTTCTAAATGTGTACACATAACAAAGATCCGACAGAAGAAAATTATACTGGGCTGTTATTAAAAGGTATCTTTCAAAACAGGGAAGAAAAACAAACAGAACACACGTCCCTCTACACAAAAGCAGGATGCAGTGCTTTAGGGAAACCAGCTGTTGGTACTTATCAATGAAGCAGGCTGATGTCCTTAAACACCAAGTTTAGTTTCTTCACAGCAATGGGCCTCCAGAGGCAGAGGATGCAAACCAGTGATAGTATCTACAGGTAACAGCCCAGAAATTGTCTGTTACACAAAACAGCCAAAATTAATGTTCAGACTGTGATTCAATGTTATTTCATGGGGTAATTTTTGAAGAAATCTATCAATTCAGACTGGTGCTATAAGTTTCACGTGCACACGTGTTGTTAATCTATGTATAAGAAACACAGAAGCACTGGAGTTGGAAAGGACCCTTAAAGGCCAACTCCCCTGCAATGATCAGGGATACCTGCAGCTCAGTCAAGTTGCTCAGAGCCTGATCCAGACTGACCTTGAATGTCTCCAAGGATGGAGCATCCACAATCTCTCTGGGCAACCTGTTCTACTGCCTTACTGCCTTTACTGTAAAAATAATTATAAAAAAAAAAACAAAACAAAACATAACTTCCTCCTCATATCCAAGCTAAATCTCCCCACTTTTAGTTTGAAACCATTTCCCCTTGTCCTATCACAGCAAACCCTGCTAAAAAGTCTGTCCCCTTCTTTCTTTGAGCCTCTCTTTACATACTGAAAGACCACACTTAGGTATATATCCAGAGCCTTCTCCAGGCTGAACAGCCCCAGCTCTCTCAGCCTGCTCTCGTAGGAAAGGTGTTCCATCCCTTGGTTCATTTTTGTGGCTCTCCTCTGGACACACTCCAGCAGGTCCTTGTCTCTTCTGCACTAAGGACTCCACACCTGCATGCGCAATTTCAGCTGAGGTCTTGCCAGCACAGAGCAGAGGGACAGGATTACCTCCCTCCACCTGCAGGCCACACTTCTTTGAATGCAGCTGAGGATACAGTTGGCTTTCTGGGCTATGAGGGCACATTGCTGGCTCATATCCACTTGCCATCCACCAGTACCCTCAAGTTAATTTCAGCAGAGTTCTATTCTTACAACCCCCAGCTTGTACAGATAGCGTGGGCTGCCAGAACTTTGGTGCAAAATCTTGCACTTCAACTAGCTGAACCTCAAGAGATTCACCTTACCTGTATTTTTCTATCAGCACACAGGTCTCAGTTTAAAAATCCCTAAAGCATGAGACAAAAGAACTTCCTAAGTAAGTGTTTGGAAGCTGCAGCACACCAGACTGTATCTTCTCAGCTTCACTCATTAACCGTTGTAATCCAGGCACAGCTCAGAGCCTAGTGCTAGCTTTTCCAATACCCAAACAGAAAGCATTTTGATTTACTTATGGCAACTTCCGTTTCTGTGACTGGCAGCAGACTTGGTATCAGATCCCCTGAGCGTGACAAGAGCACAAGCATGGTTCAGTTGTACAACTGCTTGTCACAGGTTGGGGCCAAACACCTGCAGCACTGCACTTTTGTGTTTTTTATTTTTATAACCTATGACTTAAAAACAAAACCAAATACAAAAAAGCCATCTAACTTGATCTATTTCCAAGGGGAAAAAAAACACAGCATCCTCTCTCCTCCGCCCTCATACAAAGGCACTTGTCACACCTTCTATGAAAAATTCCTGTGTAATTTGATTAGATCCGGTTTTCCAAACCACCATTGTTTCAGGAAGAAAATGAGCAGCAGCCATAACTCTCACTTCCTTTGACACTGGGTTAGCACACAGCTCAACAAACTTGCCCAACTCATTACATGAAACCATGCATATTTATTCCTCATAAAGGATCCACACAGCGAGCACAGAAACCTAACGTTGGCTCTGACGCACACTTCTTTATGTGTGAAAGATACGTTTCAGCACTAAAGAACGCTATTGTCTACCTTTCTGCCTGAGAGAGCAGGCTGCTTTCCACACACACCTAGCTGGTGTCGGCACAGTCAGCCCACCAGCACCCCCTGCTCGCCTCCATCCAGATTACAACTCCTGCTGTTATGTCACCTGCACCTTTAGGTAAGCAACCAGCTGGCTTTACTCCTCCCTGAGCCGTAACAGCTAGAAGGCAGGAAGCGCCGCTCGGCTGCACGTGGCAAACCTACCGGCGGAAACAGAGAAAAACGATTAAGGCACCGCAGTCGCGCGTCTTCAGGCCGCTGGAAAACCACCCGTGAGGCGGCGTGTCTCGGCACGGCACCGCCGGGCCCGGCAGGGCGCTCCCCGCAGCGCCCGGACCGCCGCCCCCTCGACTCCCCCGGGCCCGGCCGGGCCGCTCCCACCTCCCCCGCCCTTCGCGACGCTCACCGGGCCCGTAAAACTTGCTGCCTTTGGTCACGTCGAAGACTTTGCCATTGACCGCCAGGAGGATGCGGGGGTTGCGGGTCCCGTCGAACTCGTGCAGCTGCTCCAGGGAGAAATCCCGCCGCTTCATCCGCGGCAGCAGGGCGGCCTGGCTCTGCTGGGCCGCGCCCCCCGGCCCGCTCCGCTTCCTCCAGCGCAGGTACAGCAGGTACGCAGCCAGCAGCACCAACACCAGCAGCACCACGTAGAGCAGCATCCCGCCACCCGCCGACTCCCCCGCGCCGCCGCCGCCGCCGCTCCCCGAGGTCCTTAGCCGCCCATCCCCGCCGTCCGCCATCACCGCCAGGCCCGCGCCCGCCCGACGCCACCCGCCCCCTTCGGCTCCGGCCCCGCCCCCTTCGCCGCCCGCCGCCTCCGATTGGTCCTCGGCCCGCGGGCACCTCCCCCGCCGGCCGCGCGCCCCGCCTCTCAGTTCGCAAGAGGCGCGGCCGTCGCTACTGCGGCTGCGCGGAACGGGTTCTCTGCTGTCTCGCGCGAGGCGGAGGAAGGGGGGGGGGGGGGGGGCGGCTTCGGGAGTTCGATGCGTGGGGGTCCCGCGCCGCGTAACGGCCGCAGCGCGTGCTCAACGGTCGCAGTAGGCGGTGTGCGCACGCCCCACCCCTTTGAGTCGGGTGTGGGCTGCCCCGCCTGCCGGAGGCGGGGATGCGCGCCTCAGAAGGCGGCGCGCTTTGGGGGGTTGTGGCTGGCGGGCGTCGTTGGAGAAGGGGTCGAAGGGCGGCTGTGTTGGCTGTCGTGGTGACCGCCACGTCGTAAGGCGCCCTTTAAGCGGTCCTTGAGAAAGTGACACGTCTGCTTATGGATCTGGTGCAGAGGTCCCTCCCGGCTTTGTTCCCGAAAGCGGTCAGGCGTGCCCATGAGGTGACGCGGCAGCAGCCCGGCGGGGAAGCCCTTGAAGGGGCTGCTCGTTGTGTTTCGCTGCCCGTAAATGCGGGTAAGCAGCGCCGTCCATTTTGGGCCGTCAGAGCTGAGTGACTAGAGTTACTGTTTGTGCTGTAAAATCTAGCAGTGGCGGCGTGTACATCTTGTGTATCTGAGTGATGCAACACGCGAGCAAGAAGGAGATTACATGGTGAAAGACTAAAAGCTTTCTTATTTTCAAGGAGAGACTCGGTCATTTTTGTAGGACTACGCCTACCTGTAGCACCCGGAACGTCTTCGCGTTCCCAGACGAAGCGGCATCAGTTTCTGGAGAGCTGCCACAGGTAGCTGGGCGATGCCCGCCGCTCCGCCTGGCGCTGCGCTGTGAGGCAGCAGCGCTTTGCACCCGCTAGACTTTGTCACGGCAGTGCGTGCAGTAGAAGCATTCCTCCTGCTAACAGCTGTGAGAGCGAGACACCATTTCGTAACTCGGTTACAAAAGCTGGAGAGCTCAAATATTTTCACACAGAGAGGTAAACAGTGCAAGAACCCGGCAGAAAATAACACTTAGCGATGCTTAGCGTTTTCATAAAGCTCTGCGTTTTCAACACCTGTAATGGCCAGGTGTTTAATCTTCTGCCTTTTGAGCCTGTTTGTAATGACAGCCTTTGTGAGCAAACAGGGTGAAGTTCTCGCCAGCTAAGGACCCGCAATTGAAATTCATGGGTTGCTCTGAAAGTGACTCCTATTTCCATGGAAACTCCAACAGATCCAAAGAGCATAATAACACTATTTGATAGGGCACGTTCTCAGCTACAAAACAGTATTTTTCAGGAGTCGCTACCATTAGCTATGTGTTTTTTGCCAGTAATGAACAAAAGTCTGCGTGCCACACACATAGCTATCTGTACCAGTGGAGGTGACCCACTGTGAGCACTGCTGAAGCGCACCAGCCAAAGCCTCCCTGCACTCACATCCACTGTTTGGTCTTCATAAACATTCAGCCAGCATCAATGAATGTGCAATTTCTTTTCTGCGTGGAGGAGTTCAACTACAGACCTTCGGTTACATCATGGGCCAACATAATAAAGTAGGTGTTACTTTTTGAGCAGCTCTCTTACTGCTACTTCTCTTCCTTCTAATCAGAGTAGCTTATATTGTTAAACTCTATTAAGAGAGTATTTTTATCTTAACGAATTGCATCTTGAGTGTATTTAAGAACAGGTTTTTTTTTATCACGGAAGCATAAAGTGCTTGGGTACAGTTATGGTGTAGTTTAGGAAAAAATGGAGATGTACTTTTACCTATGGATCTGTTTTCTTCAGGAGTTTAAATTAGAATTTCTGCAAATTTTTTACTGTGTTCTGCTGATTACCTCTGCATTTTAAAGATGGTTTTAGAAAATAAAAACAAGTACTATGAAATGTGAAGTACTTTTAACCATCTTCCTACCGAGTTACTGTCTCCAAATTCATACTGACCAATGTGCGTATCTCTGAAAGTACGTGGCTTCCCTTTGGATGAAAGTGGTGTTCTGCTTTCTTCTGGGAGGAATTATTTCACAAACCTGTGGGTACTAGAGGCCTTGGGGTCTTCATTTGTCTGTTCTGACTGCCCTCTTACAATTGTATTACTACATCAGTTTATTCTGTGACCTTTGGATATAGTACAGGAAAATAGTGGCTGTTGCTCATCCCAGGATGCGAGCTGGAAACAAAGAGAACGTGAAATTGTTAAAAGGTCAAATGTAAAAGAATTTTGCTTGAAGTGATTTAAACACTAGGAAATGACAAAATACAAGTAATGTAATACAACATTTTTTTCACTCTGCTCCTAGATTTAATTGCCAGGGAAGCTTGCTGGTTCTCCACTGTGACTGTCTGCAGAGTTTCTGCTTTGACTGTGTTTGGTTTGCCAAGATAGAAAGCCTCTCCCTGTAAAGTGTAAAAATGACCTTCCATAAACCTATGACCAATTAAAGGTCTACAAGTGACCCTTACTGCAGTTTTTGCTTCTACTATTCTGTATGTGTATTTTGTTGTTCTTCTGGCATGAATAAATCTATCTAATTGGCAGCTGACTGTCACACACCCTGATCCATTATTCAGGAGCCCAAATGTTGCTAACGTATATAGTTGTGTGTGTAGTAATTACACCAACATGATTAGAAGACTGAAAAGAACATCAGGTGTTCTGGATTACCTGTTAAAAAATGAATACTTTGCCAAGTTCTAAAATTAAAATAGAAATACTTTCATATCATCTTCCCAGAAAGAGTTTTGTCAGCCCTGGAAGTATATATTATATATGAAAGAATTTCACTGATTTTCTAATTTCATGTTATTGCTCTGTAGTTTTTGTTTCTGAATGATGTTTTTTCCTAACAAATTTTGAGGAGAACCTAGATAATGAGCAATTTAATAACTCTATTCCTGTGTAATCTGATCTGTTGTTACTTGCTTATCCTTTAGTTCTTGGAGGTTAATAGCCATTAACTTCCATAGCAGTATCTCTGCCCTATCTGACATAACTTGTTTTAGCAACACGGGAAAAATCTTCTAAAGTTGCTGGTCTTTGGAGTGAGAAGATCAGTCTTTTCTTCCATTAGTGTACATTTTCTCCTTCAAAATTTCTCCTGCAATGTTAAAAATGTGTTAGATATCAGCAGATAAAGTTTTTCATTTCCCAAAAGCTATTTCCTAGTCTTTGTGAATGGTAAGATAACTGAAGTGCCCAGTGATAAGATTGCAGCAACAGGTGAAGTTCATCTCCAACAAAACAGTCTGACTTTGTTCCTCTTTTAGAAACGTACTCTGTCTGATGTTGTGTGTCACAGGAGGGTCTCTGTAGTTCAGACTGGGACCAGCAGAAACTCGTGGGCACCAGTGTGGCGCTGAGCAGCTGGCCGGCAAGTAGTGCCTTCCCTCAGAACCAGGGCCACGTTTCTGGTGACCCTGCGCTCTGCTTTGGGCATAGCCACCTGGAAGCAAGAGGACAGGTTTTTGGTATAAATGAGACGTTCTCCTGCACTCAGTAACTGCCTTTTCCTGTTTGACTGTTGATAGTATAGGAGAAATTCTAAATGCCCAGGCCTATTGTGTGACTATGTTAACTCAGGGTATAACAGGATATGCTGGCAGACAATGGAGGCATTGCGTGAGACCTGCAGAGGAGTATTCTTCATCAGGTCTCCAGGAAGGAGCACAAATGAAAAAAAAAAAAAAAAAAAGCATATTATGCAGATAGAAGAGAGGAAACTGGGGGTAAGACCTGTATGGAGACTTGGGAAGTAGATTATTTGCAGGTACATTGCAGTTCGTGAGCTCAGGAACAGGTTTTCTTGCCTTCTCTCAACTGCAGTGCCTCCTAGTTAAGGTGGTGAAATAAATTATGAAACAGCATATGGGCAATGTAGAATTGAGGTCAGAAAATCAGTTGAACAGCTTAGTGCAGCTGCAAAAACCTCAGTGTTTCCATTCTCCCAACTCAGTTCTCACCCATGCAGGTGTGACCGTTAGCATAGTGGGCAGAATTGTACCTTGTGTATTTTATAACAATACTGGCATGCCAAGCTCTTAAGTAACCAGGTAATGTTTATCTGTACAATGATACAGTTTAAATCCTGTGAAGTCAATGAAAGCTTTCCCACTGACTTCAATTCCACAGACTTAAAAATATTGGAAATCTTAACTTGGTTTTCATGAGCTGAGGATCTTTTTTGTTTGCTATTGTTATCTTCCTCTCTGGGAAGCACTGTTAATGTAGACACTTCTTATTTAGTTTTAGAACTAATACTGAATTAGACTATCCAAAATAGGACCTCTTCATTGGATGAAATGTATCAAGGTTAAAACTCTCCAAATGTCATTGTAAGTCTTTAGCTTTTGTTTTCATTTGTTTGTTTGTTTTTATGGAAAATGTGCACATATGCAGCTCCAGTTCATGGGCAGGCATTCATTGTAAGGGATAAGCTGCTGAATTTCTCTGTTGATGAGAATATTGGTATATTCATACAGATATATTACAAACATTCATGGCATATTTTTTAGTTTTTGCCTTCTTTTTTCTCTTTTTCATTGAGGGAAAGTGAGGAAGGTGCGGAATACAGTCAGAATATGTCTGTCAGGTAATGATATGTACATCAGCAGATCCCCAGAAGCATTTGCCCTTATCAAATAAATAGTACTGAAAATTTATTATGCAGCTGAAATTTTGGTTGTTTAATTAATAAGGTGAATTTTGCAGAGTCGCTTCTGTTTGTGACACTCAATGTTCACTGATGTAGAATTGTCACCAGTTTACAAAATCTCCTTTGCATTGGCTGAAGAAATTTCTCTACTGGAAGAAGGTACCACCTCCTTGTTTAGGAAAGCAGCATAGCCATGGTGTTAAACTTTGTAAATTGGGGCCTTTACCACAAGCAAGCTAGGCAACAAATTTCGTTTGTATTTCCGACCATATACATATTTAATGAATTCTCTCTTATTTTGCAGGTGCTCTGAGTATGGAAGAGCCATTTTGGAGACTGAATAAGGCCATTGCTACACATAGCAAACAAATGCATTTCCAATGCAGTGACATCACTGTGGAGCTGCAAGAGAGAAACATTGAATTCTGAGACTTACTGCAGGTGCTACAGGAACAAGGAATAAGAAACTTTATGTCAAGGTAATAAAAGAGGAAAGCTGCTCTAGACCATTGAAAAATGAGGCACTTGCCTCAGTACATTTCTGAAAAAAAATTAGATACTACAGCAATGCCTAAGATGTACTAGAATACTTCATAAGTCTCTCATTATTAAAGCATTTTGAAAGTCAGTATATAACACTGTTAAATCAAAACAGCAGCCTTTGACCTGCCTTTTACATTCACCAAGCAGAAGCCTGTATGGCTAAATAAAACACAAGACATCAAAAAACAGGCTTGCTGTGTATGTATCTGTATTTTCTCTCTTTGAGCCCTCCCTTCTTTGCATTTTGAACGTTGTTCAGAGCTTTGCCAAAATGAAATGGAAAAACCATCTTCCAAACAATTAATGCAGTATTATAATTTAAAAGGCTTTTAGAATGGGAAGCTGGAGGGACATTACCCAGAAATAGCCTGTAAAACGTAAAAAAGAGTGAACTTGTCTTCAAGACAATTTCCTGTTAACATCTATGTTCAAAGCAGTCATGCAGAAGTATTCTGTAGAGACTAAATTTTGCTCCAGTGGTAACAGCAACAATTACTTCTAGTAATATGGGCTGAAAAGGATTGAGCTGTGCAGACAGTGTGAGGTGTATGTGAGAGTTCAGGCACAGGATAAAGCTTGCACAGAACTGTTTCCAATAGAAATTCAGAGATTTTCTCTGTTCCAGTGCTATCAATGGCTGTAAGGAGGTGAAAAGTGACACAAAAATTTCTACATTATACGTGAGCGTAGCTCCAAGTGTGCAGTTACACTGCCAGTCTAACATCTTTTTTACTGAAGGGCATTACAGCCTCTTTTGCCTTAAATAAATCATCTCTTTGTTTAGACCATGAATGTTCAAAAATCATGTATACGGATGTTATATAAGAGGCATTCATGCTGTGTGGAGATCATGCTTATCCTCACTGGAAGAATCATTATACTATAGTAGGGTCACTTCACACAAGTATTTGGTCAGGAGATTTCAAACAGACTTGTATGCTTTATTCATGCTCATCTTAAAGTAAGTAAAAACACACAGAAAATATGAAGCACTATATGCCTGTGGTTCTTTATCAAGTAATATCAAGTCCGTGCATGCTAGATTTTCTGGCAGTAAAAGTTTGATCTGTGTTGGTGTGTATACATGACTGCATTTCTATCAAATCAGCCTGAGCATATGTTACAGTGTTTTTTTAGATTTTATGCCAGCTTTCTGTCAGCTGAGCAGGAAATATGCCTGCTTACTATGCACAATAGTAGAATAGTACAAACAGACAGTATCTCATCTGATATGAACTCACCTGGGACGAAATTATTTCTTCAAGGTATTTATTATCTCACAGGATGCTTACCGTACTAACGTGCAGTAAACCCTAACAAGTCTTTAGACAGATCTTTTTCAAGTCTGTGCATGTCTACATCTGATTAACTGTAGAAAGACTGACATTTATTTTCCCCAGAGGAAAAAGAATGGAAGAGTCACAAATTCAAACAGCATTTTATACCTTAGGCACATACACAAATACATTAGAATATGATGTACGCAGAAATCCCAAGTGTACTTACGTGTAATGTAAACAATGAGATGGGAAACATTAATTCATAATGATAACTAGAAATATAATTCTCGAAATTAAAGGTTTAGGTTCAGGCTCATATTGTAAAAGAGGAAGATTTTATTTTGTGCATCCCTCCATGTTTCTTCTTTTAAATATGCAGCTGCTGTGTCGTGTCTTTGGCATTTCATCTTGAAGATGAATTGTCATGACAGAAGTTACTGGAGGTAAAGATAGTAGACAAGAATACTAGAGGGTGAAATGGATAATTTTTGAGTTTTCCTAAATCTAAGGGTTGAACCCATCAGTGTATACAGATATTGGTATATTTGATATAAAATTGGCTGAGATTGTTCAAGATTTCATTGGAGTTTTGCTAATTGTCATTATTTCCATTAGGATGTATGAGTTTACTGTCACTGAAGTATTGTCTGTCTCTGGCTCTGGGCTGTAATCAACTGCAATTCAACGTTCAATGCCAGTTCTGCTTAACATAGTTTAAACAACCTTGGCTACTCATTTTTATACCTGCAGTTCAGTCTCTGCTGGGCAAGCACAACGATTTTTGAGGGATGTATAATGGATGAGCCCATAGAACTGATTTAACTGAAGAATAATAAAGGTTAAAAGGTTATGACAACTGATATTGTCTCTGATCTATCTTTTTATTTTTTTTTTTGTCTTTAATCTGTCTAGTTTATGGAAACAGATGGAGCTGAAAGTTTATAGCAAACCTGACAGAAGTGAGTGGTCGTGCAGGATAAACTGAAGAAATAATTGTTCCTGGCAAACTCAAGGTAAAAGCCTCCCTGTACCTCCATTCCAGAGAATAATTTGAATACTGTAAGGTAGATGAAATTATGCAAATGCAGAAATACTTCTGTGAAGTACGGTATGTATTGTAGGCTGTAAGTCAGCTTTGTTCTAGTACAACTGCATCTATACTAATTGTGCTGGTATATGTCAATGAAAATGTTCTCCTAACTGACAGAATTATGGTAATAAAACTTCTACATATACAAGACTTCCAAAAATTGGAATTATAATAAGTAACATGCCTGTCTCGTGTAAACAGTGCTCTAAATTTAGCAACAATTCTTATTATGCAGATCTTAGTTGAGAGTTTGTAGAGCTATGGATAATGTAAGATAGTGTTAAGACAGCACTTTTGGAATATTCCAAAGTTGCAAATTGAGGAGTCTTTCCATTTCTCTTGAAAAATTGTAGTGAACTTGGAAAAAATTATTCTTGTCAGGGCTGAAATGTGTCTTTAGCAGTTTCCTCCAACTGTTTCTGCTACCACTATCACCTCTTAAGTTTGTATTTGTTCTCAGAGTGACACCGGATTGTACTGGGAGATTGGTATATTTGATAGTTTTCTGTGGAGGAATGACAGACTGTTGACTGCATATCACTATTCAGTTCTTACAAAGCACTCACGTAATGTACTCAAGACACATGCTTGGGCTTATGACCATTTAGATGTAATCTGTACTACTGGTGCTATGGTACTGCAGTCGTATTACATTATGTGCAAGTGCTAAGTATGCAGGAGAAGGTAATGTAAAACGTGCTGCAGCACTGAATTTTCTGGAAAGAGATGCTTTGTTAAAGCATTAATAGAAAACTCTTCCAAGAGAAATTTGTTGAAATACACAAAGTTTTGATGATACATAGCTTTTTGCTGTGTATGTAGATAGTCAGTAATGTGATTTGTCATTTGACTTTACCTGCAGAAGAAACAACAGCTATCCTGCCAATGATTACAGTGCACCTGGGACTGAGAGGGTAGAGCTACTGAGCCACAGATGCTACAGACACATTTTCCTAAGTAGCTTTGGATGCTTAAAGACTCAGAGGAAATCACAAATCCTAAAGATTGAAAAATACTGAGTATAGTTGGCCTGATGGATCTGATTCCCTTAAATGGTTGGGTTTGTTAAACTGCTAGACAGCATGGAAAAGGATAGCAAGTGTGATGTAACTGAAGAAAGCGTGTATAACCAAGTATCCAAGTGATCTTTGGTACTCAGAGACCTGATCTCTCAAATGCGGATGTAGTCCTGTGTTACTCCTCCTTCTTGCTTACATTCTCAGCATCCGCCCTGGGCAGCCTGGTCTGGTATTAGATATGGAGGTTGGTGGGTTGGAGCTTGATGATCTTTGAGGTCCCTTCCAACCCAAGCCATTCTTTGATTCCATGATGCTATGATCTTGATTGCCAGCCAGTCTTCCATCAGTGATGAGTCTTGGCATTAAGCTGCTGAGAGTCTATTAAGAACCACTGCCCTTAACTGCTGGCAACTGCTCTCTGTGCTCCCATGCCAGTCATACCAGCCTCCAGAGAGCATGCTGTCATCAAAATGTGTCTGAGTAAGAGCATCTCGTTCACAAAAGGTATAATTCATCATTAAAAAGTAATGTCTATAAAACCTTACTAATGCATTTTTTTAATGTCAAAAACCTTTCTAAACATTTTTTTTAACATACATGTCTTTTAAAATAAGCTATATTGCACCAGTAAGGCAAAACACAGAAATCTTTTACACAGGATAACTTACAATTATATGTAATTACTGTAATTGTTATGCTGTTAACTCCCAGTGCACTTAAATCTCATTGCAAAGCAGTGGCAAGTGGAACCCCAACTTAAGATTTTCTCACAGATCATAGGAAAAGAAGTCCCCCTAAATAAAAAAAAAGATGCTTAGGCTCTCATACTGCAAGGCAAAACCATCTTCTGATTTCTTGAGTAGGTCTCTACAACCTTACAGCCTTATGGAAAACCAATATAATAAATGTTCCTGTAAACAAGCATTTAAAGTTTTTTTTTTTTTAGCTTCATTTTTTGTTAACATACATCAAGGCCTAATACCTATGCCAAAGCTTTAGCCCTCTGAATGATTTTTGAATTGCACGTAGTTATAGCTTTGTCTTCCCAGTCGCAGGCTTCACATTGGCTTTGGAATGTTATAAGCAGTATCAAGGGTGACAACATACCTAGTGTGGAAAACTGGCCCCCATTTGCTTCATTATTCCGCCCCAACTATTAGCAATATCAGACCTACCTTTTCAAATTTAAAAGAAGAGGTGGAAAAAGGTATTTTAGGTAACTTGCCCTAGTGTATGGCTATCTTGTTATACTATTTTTTCCTCAATGTCTGTCCTACAATATGTCTATCCTAGTATCTGAGCTATGAGCAGGACCATTGCAGGAAGCAATTTTGCCTCTTCTAGACTTGGACTCTGAGGCTAAGGGAACACAAAGGGCAGGAAATTGAGAGTCAGAACACTGGAGTTATTTTGGGAAATGTTGCAGCTCTTACGCCCTGGGTGAATTTTGTGCAGTGCTTTAAATATGGACTTAGCATAGCTGACACTGAAGTACTGGGATGGGGATTATCTTAATGATACCGGTCAGAGGGATCGAGGTTTGCGCCTGTACTTCAGTGGAACCCAAATTAGATGTGGTTTTCTTTTGTTTTCCCTTTGGCTAGTGAATTGCAGTCACGTACTAAGAGCATTCAGTTGTTATCCAATTCCCAGTCTCTTCCCAGAAGGAAAGGCAACTTTGATCAAAAAGACTGGTAAAAGATTACTGGTGCTTCATGTAATGGCAGTAAATAAAGTCATGGGCTCTGGCTCTGGAAGTGGCCAACGCATGTGGGAATGCTGTGCCAAGACGGATACAGTGAATGTATTGTTTCATGTGCTGTTTTCCCAGCAGCAGCCTGTTTTAAGGCGTTCCCACGTCTCACCTCAACTGCCAGCTGCTTGTTCTTGACACCCTTTCAGCTGTGCCAACACAGATATTTATGTGGATGTTCGTGAACTGAATCAGGAGACTAATTCAGTTTAAACTGCCCAACAACATTTTCTTGCATTGTTTTTCTTTAGTACCTGTTTAGTGCCCTGAGCCCAATTCATACTGCAGCCTAAAAACCAGTTTTGTTGATAAATTAATGTGGTTGTCAAGGGAACAGGACAGGCAGGAAGGAGGGAAATGTTGCTGGAAGTAACTTCAGTCAGTATTGTTGCCAGAGGCAACGTGCCTTCACGTGTGGCTTGTTGCTGCTGACAGCTGAGCTGAGCTATTACTGTTGCTCAGAGTCCAGTGTCTATGTCACAGTCAGCCTCAGCAATGCTGACACATCTGTGGGTACATTTGTATCGCTTTGCTCATCAGTGCTGATAAACTAAAGATTAAAACAAAAGAATGCAGTTGCCAACTGCACAGTCGATGCCTACTAACTTGAAGGCTAATAATCTTGCAACATTTTCTGCCAATTCTTTTGTTCTTCACAGTTCTATGGAAAGTAGTTTCCAGAATGGTTTTGAAAGGGTTGCAGTTTTGCCACTTGCCTAATTCAGACTAACAGAGAGCGGCCAGTGGATATGGCCAGTTCTGCTCTTTCCTCAGACTTGCATCAGTTGCAGTCACCTCTTCTTTTGCACCAAATCAAATGGTCATGCTGTGCAAGAAGTCAGTTCCCTTTGAGAATCTGATGAGAAACTTCTTTTTTTCTGTGAAAACTCTGGTAAATTGAAGGGGTTAACAAAAACAGAAGGGCTAAACGTAACTGCTTAGAAAAGGATCATTCATAACCTTCACAAGGTTTTAAAAAAGACTTCCCCATTCTCTGCAAATACAGTACTGTTTGGTGAAGTTATGGAATAAAATCTGAACTAACAGTGTGTTTGAAGCTGAAGTTCAAATTTTAATTTTTATGTTAATTTTAGTTTGCCACGAGTGTATGGCCCAAATTACTTGTCACAGGTCTTTATGCTTCACTGCTGTCCCTGTGTGTCCCCTGTAAAGTTACTTATACCTGTGTAAAATACACATGAAATATTGCCGAGTCACAGCATTTTATGCACATTCGACACTCACACTGCAGCAAAATTACTGCAATATGAGGCATCAGTGAATAAAAGTCTTGTGTTAGAAGCTGTGTTTTTACTATTGTTTTAATGGAACGTTGCAAAACTGAAAAATCATTAGTAGTCCTGCCAATGCTTTAACATTTAGAAGGTCCTATTTTCCATTTCCCCATAGCCTCTTTATGCTACTCCATTAGTTTTAAAAGGCCGTAAAGAGAGCACGTTTAGCCACTCAGGAGTGTTTTCATCTCTGTGTTGCTCTTGCCTTTGGAGCAGTAGATATGTGTTAGGCTGTGGCTGAGGAGAAAGGGTCACGGCTGGCCCGACTCTCTGTTCCAGCTATTCTTAGTTGCTGGAACAGTTCCTAGGGGCCTCAGGCTGCCGTTTGGACTAAAATTGCTGGTAGCCTTAAGACTATTCAAGGATTAATTAGCTACAAAATGTGGGTAATTGTGACAGAGTAGCTAATACTGCTTATGTCTGAACAGTCTAATTAAAGGCTGCACACGTGCAAAGAAAATAAAAAAAGTCTTAAGGAAAAGAACTATTAAACAAGAAAATTTGATCTATTATTTTCAAGAAGTTGTGTTCCTTCAAGTAGGATCCTAGTATTGATTAAAAACTATGTTTTTAAATAATTTCCTCTCTGGGAGCTCCATATTCTGCTCTTTGTTTCATAAAAACTTCTTTATATTTCTTAGAAGATGGCTGTTCACTGCAAGCACATTTCTAAGATCATTGCCTATGAAAAATCAGAAGTTCTGTTTCCACTATTAGAGACATAAGTAATTTTAAGAAGCCCATTTGGAGACATCACCATAGATATGTAAGTTCTAGATCTCCCTCTGTACAAAATGAGGTGGGGAGGGCAATAATTTTCTGCTGATTTGACAGTCTCTCTGTGCATTTTTATAGCTGCGTTTTTCATAATTTGTACTTGTACCTTTCTTCTGCTGCTCCTATAATCATTTGAGAATACTTCCATTCCAACTCTTTTGTAGTGTGTGTCTTTGGTGCTACTTAGATATTTGCTAACAGAGTCATAAAACCTCATATCTCAGATGAATTCTCTATATTCTTTGCTGAACTGTAGGAAATTGCAGTTTTCTTAAGTGCAGGAGTCCCATGTGTGGCTGATAATATCTATTTCTTTCTGTATTCTTAAATCTACCAGAGTTATAAGAGAACAAACTGCATAAGGTCCTTTTAAGAAGAGCAGGTTCAGAGGAAAACAGTTCCCTTTACTTCCTGTCCAGGTAAAACAGGTTGTTTTAGAAAACACTCCTTTTTGTTCTAAGATACTGCAGTATCTAATATCTTCTCAGCTGTTCTATAGGATGCTATAGCACTTCCCAGCCACCAGCCATTAATGTCACCACCATCAGCAGTCTCTGTGTCCTGTTCAGATTTAGATCCCTACCATGTCTTTCAGATACAGCAGGCAACTTGTTCTGGTCTCCTGCCTTTTATTTTCACCATAGCTGCTAATGAGCAGCATAGGTGCTGCTTCCTGTCTTTCTCCTCCCATCCCAGTGGGCTGGCTGTAAGCCTAAATTTAATATCATTCTGAAAGTGCACAGAAATACACAAGTATACAGCAGAATGGCATTTGTCTTGTTGCGTGTTTATGACCGTGATCAGTGATCAAATGTAGAGTGCCAAGCTCTTCATCCCCAAATGATAGTAAGTAGGAAATCTGTGTTTTTTGGAGTTTATAAACATGAGGGAAATCAACTTTTTATACAGGTAGATAGCAGTAGGACAAGGGGGAATTGGATGAGGCCTTGGGCAACCTGATCTAATGGCTGGCAACCTTGCCTGTGGCAGAGAGGTTGGACCTTGGTCATCCTTCAGGTCCCTTCCAACCAAGCCATTCTGTATTTCCGATTCTGCGATTCTGTGACTCTATGGTTCAGTTCCTTTTCTAAATGCAAAGGGGAACTTGCTATGTTGTCTTGGTCTGTCCAGAGAATAGAGAACTGTGAACTTATGCAGGTACACAAACTGCAAAGTTCAAATCTGACTAAATTCCAGACATTTTACAGCCAGGAATACAAGTGTTCCCTTATTATGACACCTGCAGTTCCTTTTTTATCAGCTTCCAAGAGGATGTGATATAACCTAGTCTCCTTGAATAAATATATTCTTACCCTTTGTTGTGAAAGTGAATTAGAAATAACATTGCAACTGATTTACGTACATTCTCCAAAACAAAAATAAACAAATCTCTGTTACTGAATGCAGTTTTTAACTAGAACAGGCAGTTTTTATGATTGTCTTTGCAGTAATAATCGGGTGATCAGCAGAGATTGTGGCTAGTATTGTTCTTCTTTTGTATCCCTTCTATTGATTTGCACTTGGGAATTCAATCAAGTGAGATGATCTGTGTTGATGTAAGAACTGCTATGGAAATGTGAGAACATGATAGCTGATTCTGCTGCTCTTTGAACTGAGAGTTTGGATGACCTGACTGGCAACTCATGAAAACATTCCTAGGTAAAGAGCAGCTGTTGTGCCGGTCTATCAGGACGGTCCAATCTGAAGACTACTTCAGATTACTTTAGCTTGTTTGAAGGATGAGGATCAAAGTTCCGTGAATGATATAGAAAATCGTTGTATAGTCTCATCACAGATTTATACAATCAAGGAAGGAAGACTCTGAAAGTAAGAGCGGTGAAATATCTATACTTTTTCAAAAAAGTCTGATGGATGTTGCTGTGGTATGCATCTCCACTACTTATTCTGGAGACATTCTGGCTGAGTTGATGAAGTTACAGCCACATAAGCTACGCTTTAGAGATACCTGCCATTGCTCATCATTATTCACGTAACTTTGCGTAGATGGGAATAACGACTTCTGTATGGGTACTATCTTACTGTAGAAATTGAAGGCTTGAAAAAGTAAATTAATGTGGGACAAATGCAGCCTCAATCTGGATGCATAAAAAAAGATCACCCTTAAAATTTTGTAAGACAAGTCTGTGGTTTGGGTTGTCAATGTTTTGTTTTTAATTGACAGTAATTAACATCTCACATGTAAGAATGTTAAATCTTTTTTCCCCCTGTATTTACTTGTAGAACTACAATTTGTCATCTTATTTAGATGCTCTCAGACATATGACTTGATTTTTAGGTGGTCCTTTGCAGCATCAGGTGTTGGACTTGGTGCTCAAGGGTTCGTTCCAACTCAGGATATTCTCTGATTCTATGTATTGGGTTTTTTTTTATGCTAAAGATTTAGTGACATGTTTCCTGTCTTTCCCAATGCACCTAACATCCCCTTTTCTCTACAAGTTGTACAAAATCAAGTATCACAAATGCCTAGCCAGATCCTTTATTGTACCCTTTATCCAACAACAAAATGTGATGAGAGCACACATTAGAGAGATTTGTTTGTCACTGTTCTTGGCCAAAAAAGAAATTGGCCTAGATTTCCCAGCTCAGACCAAGGGCTATGAATTGGAGTTGTTACTATAATAGAATTTCTGTGTGTTGGCACCTAAGATGGATGGAACAGAGCACTAGTAACCATACACTGACTCTGACCTTTCGACCTGCTCTAGGTAAGTACTGGCTAAGATGGTATCTTCAAGCAGCTTCTTGATCAGTTCTTTAGTTGTTTTGGATTTCATGTCTTTTGTATGCAGGCATCCACTGTATCAAGAGCTTAAGTATGAAAACAGATCTTTGGATTCCTGTGTCACTCAAACCTCATTAATATCTCACCTTAATGCCACCTAAGGCCTCTATACCACTCATCACCGAGTTTGCTGCAGTGTTCTCTAAGCTGGCCTAATGTAAGGTAGCTGTGTTGAGGGAATAGTGTTGTTTTATGGCAGAGAGCCCAGGCAAGGGAAAAGCATAAACTTACAGCCAGAGATGGAGGAGAGAACAGAATAGCTGTTTTCCACAACTGTGCAAACAGATTGACCTAAGCTGATTGTGAAATCACAGTTATAATCCTTAGGTATTTATTTTGAGAAGCATTTTTCTATTTTTACATAAAATGATATTGCCACTCAAGTTAAGCTAAGTAATTCATGCATAATACTGCATTATTTGGAAACTCTTTAATTCAAGAAGAACACATTATGAAAAAGATTGTAATATGCTGCTCTGTTCTGTGTGTACTATGAGTTTTGTGATATAGACTGTATATTCCTTTCCCACTGACACTGCTTTGTAATTGTGGCATGTATTTCCACTGATCTTTGCTCGTGAGCAAGCTCTTAACACAAATAACTCAAGCGTGGATATAAAGGTTATTCCCTTGATTTTCAGCATCATTCATCACTGTAATGTTCTGAGATCATCTAGAGGTTCTGAATCACGGATGAGGTAGATAAAATTAATTTCAGTACACACTGATGCATATTGGCATTTAAAATTACTGCCCTACATTGTTCACCCCCACTCCTTTTGAAGGAATCTATTCCCCCACTTGCGTTGGATTTCTGGAGAGGGTGGGTTTGTGGCACGCAGTCTGCACATTAGCAAGCAGTGAGAGACTTGCATTTCTGAGTGAAAGTACACTACATAACCTCTTCACATCTCATTTTCCAAAGTTAAGAGCTGACATAAAGCAGACATACCTCATTATAAAGCAGCAAGGAGTACAAGGAGTTTTAAAGCACAGAAAATGAACAAAACAAGGATAGTGTTACCTCTGGATTAGGACTTTGAGCTTGCCTTTGAGCTTCATCGATCAGCTCTGGATACCCCTGTATTAGTGGGGAGAGAAGTGTGTTGTTGCCAACTTCTGACTTTGGAATTTGATTATGCATAAACAGAGGTCTCCTCTTAGACAGAAAATTTATCATTTTTTTCAGCTGTTGTTTTGGAATTGCAAGTTACTATTTTTACTTTCAAATTCTTTCTTCCTTTGTATTTGCATGGATATTTGTGTTTGCTTCCAGTGAGCAAAGGCTATGTGTACGGTGTCAGAGTTTAACCCTAAATTGGGTAGAAATAAGTTACAGAGCACATGGAAACATGCACTGTTAGTCTTTGTGCCTTTAAAAAGCTAATCTGAAATAAACACTGAAATGTCAGCATGAGTATGTGCAGGCACTCTAGATAAGCAGAAAATAATTTGACACAAGGTTTAGACTTTTCAAGTGTTGGAGTTGAGCAATACAGGTACTGTAATCTTGTTACTTCTTTAGTGTGGCAGACGTAAATGTCCCCCCAAAAAAGTTAAAGCCATAAAGTTATGAATTACAAGACTTGACTACAAGAACTTTTATGTGTCAAAGAAAATAGATTAATTAAGTGAGGGGAATTCATATTATATGTCATATGTCACCCACACTTGCAGTATTCCAAGCTGTTCTTAGCCTGTACTGTGACTTAATATATGCACAGTGGCATTGCACAGAGCACATGGGAATTCACAGGCCTCAACACAGACAAAATCCTCAGTTTTGGCAGCATTTTTTCTGATATTTGTCATTTGGCTGTAATAGGACAGATTTACCCTTACACTCTCAGGTGCATGGTAACTAGAGCACGTTACTAGTTTGAATGATTTGAGTAGTGCATCCAATGCAAATACAGCAATTTATTGAACGATCTTAGAACGATCTGTGAGTATGAAAGATTAGGAGTTTTGAATCAGCTTTGTTATTGTTACTTCTAGAAAACAATTGCCTGACAGATATTTCATTAAAATATATTTATTATTATTAGAAATATTTATTTCATATTTCCTAACCAGAGCAGATTGAAAATTTTGGCATAGTGACGGACTAATGAAATTATGCTTCAATTCCTTGGTTTGAGAACTTTCAACTAATATACTATCCATAGGAATCAACAGCTTCTTCC